GAAGACAATATAGTAAGATAGAAGGGGACTCCGGAGTCTGCGGACGCTGGCAGATATACCTCGAAGTCTCCTCGCACAGCTAGTTTACTGATGCCTGGTCTGATAAGATATACCTGGATCTGCAAAAAAAGATGTGCAGAAGCGTAGTATGAGTACACCACAGTGGTACCCAGTAAGTGCCAAGCCTAACCTCGGTAGAGTAGTGACGATGTCAGGTTAGGCCCTACTGGAGAATAAATAATGGCATGAAAAAATATTTAAATAATAATATAAGATAAAATAACAACGGAAATGAATCAAGTAGTATGCCACATTTAATCAAAGGCAACTGTGCCCATAAATCAATATCAAAAAGGGCACTCCCGAGATACCGCCTCGTAGTCCCAAATCATAAGCAAATTCACAATATCTCATTTCCTTATCTCACCGCGGGAGCCTTCACAATTTATTTGAAAGAAAATATTTTTCCCGAAATAGCATCCCGCGTTTTAGCCATCCTTATCACAGCGCATGACTTCTAGTAGTTCCCCCTACCAGCCACGTGTATCAAGCCACCCTTATTTCACCGCAGACCTTATATCACCGCATGCGTATCAATATCACAATTTGCACCTCAAGTGCTCAAATAATGTAACTTGCCAAAATAATTCAACCACAATATTTTTTCACAATAAAGAGCTCACGGCTCATGCCAAAATAAATCATCAATAATATTTTTTCACAATAAAGAGCTCACGGCTCATGCCAAAATAAATCATCAATAATATTTTTCTACAATAAAGAGCTCACGGCTCCATCACAATGAGTACGAAAATCTTACAAAAATATTCAGGAATAAATACTTCAGGAAATAATATTTTAAAATCTTTAATATGTTGCTTCAATATCAAATTAGAAAAAAAAAGTCAAATACTTCATATTAATAATATTTAATTTAAGGAAAATCAACCTTCAAATAATGCATAGAATAAAAAAATCAAGTTTCAACTAAACAGGTAAAACAATTAGTAAGAAAAGATCAAACAAATTTGAAGTATATATCTCACATCAATGATGAAGAATATAACAAGATAAAATAATTTAATAAATGCGCAACAGTGATCTACACAATTTAAAAATATAATCTTTCGCAATTTAACCCGTGTACACACTCGTCACCTCGTGCACACGACTTTCAACACATTTCAATAATCACATCAATATCAATCCTAGGGAAAATTTCCCCCACACAAGGTTAGACAAGTCACTTACCTCGACTTGCTCCAATTTAACCAAGTATTATGCTTTTTCCTCGATTTTCCGACTCTGATCGACTCGTTTCTAGTCATAATTAATTCGATACAGTCAACAAAAATTATAGGAATCAATTTCATAAGAAAATACTATATTTTTCAATAAAATCCGAAATTAGCTCAAAAATCGCCCGTGGGACCCACGTCTCGGAATCCGGCAAAACTCACAAAATCCGACAACACATTCAATTATGAGTCCAACCATACTAGTTTCACTCAAATCCGACTCTGGATCGACACCGAAATCTCATAAATTTGTTTTTATGAGATTTCTAAAAGTTTCTCAAATTTCTATTTCAAAACACTAATTAAATGGTGAAAACAACGATATATTTGTATATATTGACCAAATCCGAGTTAGAATCACTTACCCCAATATTTTTCCTAGAAAATATATCAAAATCGCCTCTCCTCAAGCTCCAATTCGTCAAAAATGACAAATGGGACGAAGTCCCCTGTTTTTATAACTTACAGATTTGTCAGGGAGCTCGATTTGTGAGGGAGCTTGATTTTGTCAGGGAGCTCGATTTGTCAGGGAGCTCGATTTGTCAGGGAGTTCGATTTTGTCAGGGAGCTTGATTTGTCAGGGAGCTCGATTTGTCAGAGAGCTCGATTTTGTCAGGGAGCTCGATTTTGTCAGGGAGCTCGATTTGTCAGGGAGCTCGATTTTGACAGGGAGTCCAATTTTGACAAGGAGTCTGATTTTGACAGGCAACTCGATTTTGACTGGCAGTCCGATTTTGACAGCATTTCCAGCAGAAAAATTGCAGCAGCTAAGTCCCACTTTTGATCCGTTAACCATCCAAAACTCACTCGAGGCCCTCGGGACCTCAACCCAATACACCAACAAGTACTAAAACATCATACGAACTTATTTGAAACCTCAAATCAAATCAAACAACGCTAAAATCACAAATCACACTCCAATTCAAGCTTAATGAAACTCAAGAATTTCCAACTTCTACATTCGATGTCGAAACCTATCAAATCAAGTCCGATTGATCTCAAATTTTGCACACAAGTCATAAATGACATAACAGAACTGTGAAAATTTTCAGAAATGGATTTTGACCTCGATATCAAAAAGTCAACTCCCCGGTCAAACTTCCAAACTTAAATTCCTATTTTAGCCATTTCAAGCCAAATTTCACTACGGACATCCAAACAAAATTTCGATCATGCTCCTAAGTCCAAAATCACCATACAGAGCTATTGAAATCATCAAAATTCTATTCCGGGGTCGTTTGCACATAATTCGACATTCAATCACTATTTGAACTTAAACTTTTAATTTTTTTTTTATCAAAATTCCGTATCTCGAACTAAGGACCTCGGAATTTGATTCCGGACATACGCCCAAGTTCTAAATTACGATACGGACCTATCGAAACTGTCAAAATACTGATCCGAGTCCGTTTGCTCAAAATGTTGACCAAAGTCAACTCGGTTGAGTTTTAAAGCTCTAATTCACATTTTAATCCATTTTTCACCTAAAAACTTTCTGGAAAATTTTACCGACTGTGCACGCAAGTCGAGGAATGATAAATATTACTTTTCGAGGTCTTAAAATACATAATTAATTATTAAATTTAAAGATGACATTTTGGGTCATCACTGTTGACTTTATTTTAGACATAGGGTCTCCACCCCCTAGTCTCTTTTCCAACATAGGGTCTCTACTCCCTAGTTGATTTTATTTTTAGACATAGGATCTCTACTCCCTAGTCTCCTTTTTCAACATAGGGTCTCCACTCCCTAGTTGATTTTATTTTAGACATAGGGTCTCCACTCCCTAGTCTCCTTTTCCAACATAGGGTCTCCATTCCCTAGTTGATGCTTTATTTGAGACATAGGTCTCCATTCTCTAGTCTCATTTTCCAACATAGGGTCTCCACTCCCTAGTTGATGCTATTTTTAGACATAAGGTCTCCACTCCCTAGTCTTTTTTCCAACATAGGGTCTCCACTCCTTAGTCTTTTTTCCAACATAGGGTCTTCAATTCCTAGTGAAAGTTATTTTAGACATAGGGTCTCCACTCCCTAGTTGATTTTATTTTAGACATAGGGTCTCCACTCCCTAGTCGTTTTTCCAACATAGGGTCTCCACTCCCTAGTTGATTTTGTTTTAGACATAGGGTCTCCACTCCCTAGTCGCTTTTTCCAACATAGGGTCTTAACTCCCTAGTTGATTTTATTTTAGATTTAGGGTTTTCACTCCCTAGTCGCTTTTCCAATATAGGGTCTCCACTCCCTAGTTGATTTTATTTCAGACATAGGGTCTCCACTCCCTAGTCTTTTTTCCAACATAGGGTCTTTACTCCCTAGTTGCTTTTATTTTCAAACATAAGGTCTCCACTCCCTAGTCTCTTTTTCCTAGGGTACACCAATCCCGACCTTTTATTGCTTTTAATAATGAAGTAGTATATAGTTTTGTTATCAATAACTCACAAAATTTTCCTAGTAAAACCTGGGGCAGAATAATTTTGTTCGTTTGTTTGTTCTGGTGTCTGAGCAAGTTTTATCTCGAGGCACGGGGTTTGAGATAACCAAAATAAGAAGTCTCAATCCAAAATAAAGAAAAGAAAAGAAAAAGAAGTGAATCGAAATGCAGAAGCGGATGAAAGGATGTGGACTGCTCAATACATGACTGAAGTTACAAGCTTTGTATGTCCCGTCTTGATCCGAAAAAGGCGAAGAAGAATGAACTAACACTTGCAGCTAGCAAGCATCAAGGTTCAGATCAGAGTCTACATGATGAACCAGTCAAGACTCAAGATCAAGTTTCAGAAGACTTAGAGGTAGGAATCTTGTAACTCATAGCTGATAGGCTTGTTTAGTTTCTTTTTATTTTGATTTTGGTGTAATAAAGAGCTCAACAAGCAGTAGCAGCAACAACAACAATGAAATCACAACTATTAGGTATCCAGCTACCAAAACCTCCAGAACTACACTGACCTGATCCTTTTATAGCCAAGGATATGTAGGCAACCTCTAAAGCAAGGTTCGGTCAAACTTTTTCAAAATGCTTCCCATAGAGTATCAAACGGGAAAAAATTGTTCATGATTGCTCACTTTATCTTTGCCCGAAAACTCTTCATGTTTCCGAGCAAAGAGGGGCAGCTGTGAGCACCTAATTTTTGCCCCACATAGGAAATTACTCCTAAAAAATAATTTTAATTATTTTTATGAATTTAAATAGTTTTTCTTTATTTAATTTTGTATTTATTCGCATTGCTTATGCATGTTAGGAATATCGTAAATCATAAAAATCATAAAAAATGTTCAAATCTTAATTTCATAGCCTTTTAGATTTTAAATTGTATTTTAGGATTTAATTACATTGTAAAGTGCATCATTTAAATAACTAAAAATAAAAAAAAAATGCATTTTTAGGTTAGTTAATTAATTAAGTCATTAGTCAATTCTTAGGTAAAATAGATAAATAATTTAGCCATACCAATTGGATTAAACTAAAGTGGCTAACATTGCAAAATATAAAGAAGGAAAAGAAAAGGGGGTTCTTAGGCTTTCACATCTGAATTGGGCTAAGCAAAAATCGGATGGCCCAATTACTTTAATTATGCCCAAGCCCAATCTCTGACCCGGTCCAACAACCCTCCCAGGCCACCCAAACGACGTAGTTTAACATAGAAACTACGTCGTTTCGTCCCTCACTAAAAATAATTCCCCCTTCATTCTCTAACAGACGGATCCCTTCCCCCCTTCCTAAAAACCCTAGCCGCCCCTCTTTTCTCCATCATCTCCAAACAGCCTCCCTCTCTCAAAATACACCCAAACCCTAGCCGCCACACTCTTCTTCTTCACTCCCTAGGGTTCGCCTACATTCCTCACACTCACACACATGCTCTCATGGTCCGATTTTGAACACAATCTCAGAGAACAATTAAAAGTTGGAAATCGAAAAAAAGAGAAGAAGATAGAAACACACGAAAACTTCAAAACAAGAACAAAAGAAAACAAGATAAATTAAAAAAAAGAGATTCTCAATGGTTCAACGCTCGCTGTTCATTTCCATTTTTTTGGGGGGCTTCTAAGCGTGGTTTTGGCTTAAATACTGTTTGTTGCTGCTGGATTAATATGGCTGAGCTCCAATGGTAGTTGTCGTTGCCTCCATTTGATTCTGCTATTCCAATTTTTGCCATTTAGGTACTTTTTCTTCCCAGATCTGATGTAATCACTTTTTTAAATAAAAATGGTGTCATGAATCTGTAATGCTTGGTTTGCCATTTTCCACTCGTTTGACTTTGTTGTTTTATCTGAAGTTGATTGAATTTAAAGATTTAAACTGATATTTCTTAAAACTAAACTAAATCATTCGATGTATGATCCTACCATATTTCGGTGCAAGCTTTAATGTGTTAACTTTGGTAAATATAAGAAGAAAACATATCTAAGCTTGTTTCCCTGCTCCTATCAATATTTCGACTAAGTTTCTTATTTTTGAATTATCGGTGTGATTATGTGATGTGTTTAACTGTTAAATCAATATAAAATTTAAGTGTTTGTTTGCTTTTATTAATCGTCATCTAATCTTGTTTCATGTTATAATATTGGTTTTCTTTGGATGCATCATTGCTGTAAGTCGTCCGTTTGGTTAAATTGAATTAACAGATGATGTTAATTGATTTTGGTTGATTTGTTTCATAAAGGTTAAAAGTAGTAGTGAGAGAGGAATACCACATTTTGTTTTAAATGATGCCTTCATTCTCAACATAACAGTTGGCCCCGGGCGGATTTCTCGGTCATTAAAAAAAGTCATCTTACTCTGTTTTTTTAATAGTTGGAATAGAAATATCGTAGATTTCAAATAGAGTGTTTCTGCATTTGTTGATTTGGGATCTTGGTGGCATGACTGACTATTTGGAGAGAATTGATTTTGCTCTCACTCCTAGTTACTACATGAATCTGAACTGGAATTATTGTTTTCTCCATGCCACTTTAGTGTGATAAGAACCAAGGCAAAATTCATCTCTTTATTTGCTCTTTTTATGCTCTCAGAGATGAGTCGATCAAGGGAAGCGGCCGCCATGAAGCGGAAAAGACCAGACTTGGATTCACCTACTCGGGGACTTCCAGATGCTGAACATGTAGTGCTCAGTCTGGTCAAAAATAAAAAGAATCTGGGCATCTGGGTGGCAGAGGTGAAAAAGGAGGCAAACCTTCCACCAACTCTTGTGGATAAATCCCTGACAGCACTCGTGAAAAAGAAGTTGATAAAACAAGTTGTGAATATCCAAAATAAGGGAAAGAAACATTACATGGCTGTTGAGTTTGAACCTTCGGAGGAATTGACTGGTGGTTCATGGTACTCTGAGGGAAATCTTGATAAGGAATTCATCACTGTTCTCAGAGACACTTGCTTCAAGGTCATAGAATTGCTGAAAGTTGCTACTGTGGAGGGAATCCACAACTTCTTGAAGAAAAGGAAAGTTGTTGAGTGCACGGGTCAGCAAATTGCGGAAATATTGAACTCTATGGTTCTAGACAATGCTATTATAGAGGTGAAGAGCACTGGATTGGGAGAATATCATTCTATTCCTGTTGGATCAGTTTGTTATCGAACTTCAAGCGGAGTTGCTTTAGGGACTGGTCCGAAAACAATAGGGCCAATGGCTTCAATTCCATGTGGTGCTTGCCCTAGGATTAGTCAATGTTCACCTAATGGAGTTATATCCCCACAAACATGTGTCTATTACACTAAATGGTTGAACACTGAATTTTGATGTACTTCTGATAAGTAAATCCGGTGTACACTGCATTACCACATATTGGTTGCTATCTGATTTCCTGTTAATCTTTTTGTTTAGATGGAAGCAACTTTCTGATTACTCATAGTTTTATTAGAACGTTTGAACTCAGTAGAAATATTTGCTGCTTTTTTATGGCTTGAAATCTCTTCAGGCTGATCGGAAATATTGTCTGGTCATGTTACCTTTTGCTAATAAAAAGCTTTCATCTAATGTTTGTTGGCCTCTCAAAGTGCGATGACAATTCTCACAAACTATGGCATCCTTTGACATGTGTCAGTTTGTTACTAGGCAGCTAATTGTCACGTGAACAAGTCATTCTACCATCTGTATTTATTTCACTAGAGATAAAAAACCTACATGAGATAGCCAAGAAATTGGCACATGGCTTCTTGAGTTCTTCCAATATTTAAACAGACATTCCAAAACAAAATTCAAACAAGACAATGATGTACTTTCAAAAGCAAAACCACACTATTTTCAGGGCATGAAGCCAAATCATAGTACTTTATACAATCATTGTAGTCACATTAGTTTGCAGAAAGTGACAGTATGTATAAAGCACCTCTGTCTTATTTTGGACTTCAAATACACACTGATTGACTTGTTTTCTCTGGGAATTCAATGACTTGGTGAAGGAACAATCCGATCGGATTCAGATGCTTCCTTTCTTTCTCAAGTAAATACACCCTCTACTTCAGGCATTGCTATAATAAATGCATTCAGCTTGGAGTTTAAGTCTTCCCACTTTTCCATAACTCTGTCATTTGTTTAAGCACACTTTGGATTGTTCCCCAGCTTTCCATTGATCCTACTGTACCCCATACAATAGCTATTACAGCCCAGAATGTGAAGTATCCCTTGCTAAATTGCCCCGCATTATCAAGTTTGCAACCAATTTATCATCGAGCATTCACACTAACACTGAAGTAGCAGAAGGATTAAATTTTTTAGACTTACCCGCAGTAAGTGTAAGAATAGGCCAGAGAACTACTATCGCGACTGTGAAGCCAATTCCCCATTTGATTATCCATGCTTTGGCTCTGTTGAGCTTAGTAGTCTGCCAATCATAGTTCTGGGGCCTTAGAAATAGTCTGCCAATATGGCTACAACACTTCATGAAATCAGTCAAATTTCAAGCATCTCGATGCAATGGAATCTCAAAGTTAGAGTCGTTCGAATGTGGGAAATGCCGGATCGTTTCAATCCTAAAAAACCATATTCGATTGAGTTGATTTTACCGGATGCAAAGGTAACATATTCAACTTTATATAGTTCAAAGTTTTCTTTTCTGGAATTGTATCGTTTAAAACTATTACCGATTTAATTCAGTGTACATAAGTGAGTTAAATTTAGTATTCAAGCTATATTTACTTTATGCTTTCTCAGTTTAATTTAGAACAATATTTTTTTCCTTAAATAGGAATGTACCCACTGGATTGCTGCAAAATTGGTTAATTTGGAACTTGAACGAGGATGGTCATACTTGGCATGCAACAAGTGCACTAAAAAGGTTGACAAAATTGGGAACAAATTTTTTTGTAAGAAATGCAATGAAGAACAATGTTCTGTTGGTCACATGTAATTTTCATATCATATGGTTTTAAAACATATAAAAAGGAAATGCATAAGATTAAAAAAATTGGACTTGCAGGTATCGACTTGAAGTTCGTGTTATTGATGGAACTGCTTTTATGTCATTTTATTGCTTTGGAATCGCGAAGCTATGCAGATTATAGGAAAGTCCGCAAAAGAATTGAAGCAAGGATTAATTGAGGTATACTAATAATGTTCTTTCAAATCAGCACTTTTAGCTTAACTTACATTGTCTACTCCTAGAATTCAAAATAAATTTTTGCTTCCCCTGTTTGCTATGATGGATGCTTTCTTACAATAATTATAAGAGGAATTGTCTGTGAAACTTTAGAAAATTGCTGCATATTCTGTTAAAAGTGTTGCAGTTGCTAAGAAACAAATTTATAGGTTACGTTTTTTGGATTTAACAGATGAGTTTTTGGTGCCTTGTTAACTGCTTCTATGCAGTTTCAAGTGATTATTTCCTATTTACATGGCTATTCTTTATTTGTTGTGAACTTAATTTAGTTGTCAATTATAACTTTTCTAACCTATGAAATTTGGTTAGAAACAAGACCAACATTGGATGGCTTAATAATAACCTTAAACATGAATTTTTTATAAAGAATATCATCCAGCTCACTTGGATAAGAACGGTCGTCATCCACAACAAAAGCCTCTATCTTAAACAGGGGACTCAAAGCCCTGTTTAGTGAGCATACTGGGGCCAATTGCAATAACGAGGATAAAAGAAATCAAATGATAACTGAAGAAGCTCAAATGTCATTACCGGAAGGTGAGCATGTCTTCTACTGCTGGAGTAGTATCATTTTTCATGCCAACTCATGTGAATGGAATTTTTTAATTATCCCCCTTACATTGAAAATAGTGGACTCTTTGCCAACAATATTTGCATTTTTCATTTATTTTGGCTAATTTATCTCTGTAATATGTGGGGCTTTTGCCTTGTTTCTTCACATATTATTTGCATTATCATCATCAGTACTATAAAGAGCAAAAAATATTTGGAATAACAGCTTTTTGGGGGAGAGGGGAGGGAGAGGAGGGTGTTATAAAGATGCTATTTTCTTTTGCAATTGGATGTATCAATTCATCTTTCTGTACTTCTAATTCAGGGCTAGAATTTCTAAAAATATTGATGAGTCAACAGGTGATGGCACAATTAGTTCCTCGTCAATTGACCTCCAGTAACTTTTTAAATATTAACGTATGGTATTCCAAGATGCTAAAGTATACTCAGGCATAAAAGCAAGCAGCTACATAATTGCAAGTGAAGGAACCAGAACTTTTAGCTTTTAAAAGAAATGGGTTAGAAAATTTTACGATAAAACTTTCTCAAAATGGTAATCTGTGGCAAAGCGACAATGGAGGCTTTTTTATTAAGGGAAAAAATGGAGGTTATCTTTTGCAATTAAAATGCAAGTTTTGCAACAGAATTAGTGAAGTTACCTTTAATAATGATACATACCTTAAGATGTTAAAGGTACATTTTGGCATAAAAGAGAGTAACCAGTTGTACACAAAGAAAAGAGAAATTTGACCTGTTAAAAGACGAACAGAGATCTTTAATAATTGAACTTTCTTGAAATGGTAACTTGTGCAAGGAAAAATGTTATTTGTGCGTTTGAAATTCTGTAGAAGTGTGAAATACCAGTAAAACATGATGCATATTGCATACCTTGCTCTTGTAAAACTGTAAGTTTTTGGATCCACCTGATAAATTCTGGCTGTCGCAATGGCTCATTATCAAGTTTCAAGCCCCTAATTCAAAATGCAAAATGTACACTATATATATAGGTGGAGGTTACTGACTGTATAACTACCAAATCTTTCTTGTTTTTTTTTGAGGGGGGTTGGGGTTTGGGGATAAAGTAGCATTGTTATGGGCTTTCATTTTTTTTATTTACTATCTACAATTTATCTAGTTAGTTAATTTCAAGTTTTGACCTTTTGTGTGCTGATGGTTAAATTGTTTCATCAAACTTGATCTATTGCTCTCTCTATGCGGTTGACCAAGAATAATTAGGTTATCCTATTAATGTGCTTTTTGATGGAAAATGTTAAAGTGGTAACACTGAATTAGCTTTTTGTTATTTTGTATTGAGTAAACATTGGCAGATCTGATTCTGTGCTAAGTTCTATTCCAAATTTGTGTTCATTATTGTAGCTTGCTAATTAATCTCTTCAGTTTCTTGCTCGAAATAGCCAGTGTTATCAAAGGCGCGCTTAAGCCCTGAAGCGAGGCTCAAAACATGTTGAGCGTTACGCCTAGCTTAACGGGCGCTTCCGTGATGTCATCAAGACTCTAAGGCATACTTTTCCTTGCTAACGAGCGTAATCTTGAAAATGCGACACTAAACAATTGATATTTCACTTTATCGTAATTTTTCTTCAATTTCTTTGTCCATATATTTGGTATTCATGCTTATAGATATTAGTCTTGGACTACACATACATATTTGTAGTTTTTCTCCGTTTGTGCCTTTCTTCGTTAAAGCCCATACTTTATTTGCGCTTCGCGCTTAAAAGCCCCAACAGACCTTAGAGCTTTTTTGCACTTTTCGCCTTTGATAACACTGGAAATAGCATTCCCCGGTGATTTTTGTTCTTAAAACTTAGTAGGATAATAGTTGTTATCTTGAATAACGAACTGTATCTGCCCTAAGACTGTTGAGGATGTGCCTTGATGCTTCACCTAGAACAAAATAGCTGTGTCTATGTTCTGTCTGTTTCCTATGAAGCATGGTTCTAGGTAGCCTTTTCACAGATCTGATCTTCCACGTAGATGAAATGCTAATTGAGCATCAAAGCACGCCCAAAGATACAATCTAGGTTTAACTTTGGTAACATTCACGTATATTGGTGTTCGTGCAATCAAATGATATAGGGTCCCTCAGAGATCCCTGTTAATGGTAAAATTTTAGGTTGATTAGGTTTTGCCTCCAACTCCAAGTCTTGAAAATTGAGATTGAATTTGTGACTGAGGATCCTCCTCTTCTTCTTACCCTTCCTGAGCCGATGATCTATTGGAAACAACCTCTCTACCTGCATTAGGTAGGGGTAAGGTCTGCGTACAGACTACCTTCCCCAGACCCGACCTGTTGGGAACATACTGGATTTGTTGTTGTTGTTGTAAGGCCAAGTCTACACTGTTGTGAAGATAACTGATGATTATGATCTCCTAAAGGAATACTGCCACTCTTCACTCGAAGACACATTCAGTGTAAAATACTTACTTACCAAACTCCAAATGCATTTAATGACAACTAAATTAAGTTGTCTATCAGTATGTTACCTTGAAACATTAATGTTTATTTTATGATATTTTTCTTTGTAACAGGATTCAGAGATTCCTGATGGACAAAGTTCGGGTGGAGAGAAGCTATTTGGGGTAATCATCCAAAAATTAATAGTGTTATGACATTATTAATTATTTAGTTGTATACATATTAAGGGGTAGGTGACCTTTCGGACTGTCTTTTTTGTGCAGATTTTCGCTGCGCTTTTCTTCTGGTTTTCATGGTTGATTGGACAACTATGGTAATTGGAACTCTATGTATTTAATGGTTAGCACTTAGCAGTATAGTTTAACCAAATGCTGGAGCAGTTATTTGTACATTAACATAATTGTTTTCACTAGAGTGGCAATGTATTGTGGAATTGGTGCAAACTGTCGAAGAAAATGGTGCCCAATAAATTATGGGCAACACTTAACATTGTACTAATAGACTAAAGTAGGAAATAGGTTTAACAAAAAGGGATAGAGGTAGTTCTTTTAATCATAAAAAGGTACAAAGGTAGTAAACTGCAGGGATTCTGCATAAACCATATTCTAAATTCCTAAGAGGCATGGAGTTCCTTTGCTATGCAATATTGAAACTTATGGCAAGTGGTGAAACCAAATATGCACCAGTGGGGACGACGTTTATCTCTCTCATTAGTAAAACTTCATAACCATGACGAATTTGTTGGAAGATGACCAATTATAAAATCCACATATCTTCATCCTAAGAATATTTATGCATATACATTAAGATTATGCATAAACTTCCCAAACATACTCTTATGGACAAAATATATAGTCGTCACTGGTATGTATATGTTGATGACAAAACATATACACCTTCACTTCACTTCACTGGTAATCCATTGTGTAGAAGAGTCCTACTTAAATATGTTCTAATTGTCCTGAATTTTCTATCTTTCTAAGGATGTCCTACTGAATTTTTTTATTGGTAGAGTTTTGTTATGGGTTAACTCCTTAAATTAATTGGAAATATATTTGTAATATAAAAAATTAACTTCCCTGGTGTACTTAAGGGAATTTTCTTTTTTCCAGAATAGATACCAAAAAATGTTTGTGGAACATATATTAAAATAAAAATATTACTTCACTAAAAAGGACTGAAAATAAAAAAACCCTCATAAAAACCAAAAACAGGCTCAACCTCAACTACTCTACAACTTCTCACACCAAATTAAGTTTCTCTCAGCAAAGTCCGGTCAACTACCAATATCAACGGCAATATATGAATCGAAGGTTTTCATGATTCTAGGTTTGTCTACATTACCTTAATTTCTCTTAGGAAATAGTGTTGTTCTCAATCCTGTTGTGGTTGCTTCAAAGTTACTTGAAAAGACTCCACAAAATTTCCAAAATAATCTAAACTTCTCACAACAAAATCAGTTTGTACGGCACTTTGACATGGAAGAATTGAAGAAACTCGCAAGAAAAAATAGAATATGCATACGGAACAAGAAACGACCAAAATATTCCTCGGATAACAATGGTATGAACTTTTATAACTATTTACTGATTTTCAATACAAAATCATATACTATTCCGCTTAAATTAATGAACACTTTATTATAGTATGTGCTCTTTTATTTTCTTTGCGGTAAATTATATTTTTCTAATTTGTCTTTCTACCTGACTGTTTAATCTACCATAAACTTTTTATCACGTCCTTAAGTTTTTTTAACTATTCAACGTTGTGGCATATTATTTGTGTATATTCTATTCATAAAGAGACCAATATGTATGTTATTCAGTTCCTTTGTTCCAATCAATTGTCCTCTATTCTTTTATTTGGCTTAAATTAGATTTTCCTTCTTTTTACCTGATTTATTTTTTCTACTAGATCAGAATAAATATACCCAAAATTTTTTAGCAATAAATTCGTGATTGAACTACCTAATATTTTTGTCCATTCCTTGTATACTTTACTTATTTTTTGTCTTACTAAGTTGTTTGATTCTCTGTTTTTCAATTTCAAAGCTGCATTTGTTGATATTGAATCTTATAACATTTGTTTTTTTAAAAGTTATTCTGATGATTAGTTGTATAGGTGTATCATCTTTAGATTTCGCCTTTTTACATGCTTTAGTCAGTTGGAAGTAGAGAAAATCAACATTTCAAATCAGCTCTTCAATTCTTCTATACTAATCTCTAAAGTGAACATAGCGAAAGTAAAAGGGAGAGGGGTGAATTGTGGTCGATTAAAACTTAGTTGATTAAATATGAGTTTAGTCGACTAGATTCAGCACAATGAATAGTTAAAGAGAAGTAAACCAAGCAAACTGAAAGATAATAGGACACAACAATTTTTATACTGGTTCAGTACCAGTAAGTTACTTACATCCAGTTTTCCTTGGGTCACAAGGGACTTCTTAGATCTTTGATAATAGGTTACAATGATGATGGTTTTGGTTCGCTCACCATCAACAACATTCAATGATAATAGCTTTTCTAATGTTGACAAAACTCTTTTGTGTTCTATCTCTTCTTATCTTTTATGACACTTGTAGACTCAAGAATACAGTGTTTGTACTAAGAACTAGAAAGGTTTAGAATCAGTTTGTGTAGTTGCGTATCCAATCCTTAAGTATGCCAGTCTTCTTATAGACCAGATTTGACAGCTGTTATGATTTGTTTTGATTGGTGCACACAATGTTTTATTGATATTTGATTCATGACCCGTGTCTTTAATTCCTTCAAGAAGGATGGGCTAGATTTAATAATCCAGGGAGTGCTCCAAGCCGAGATCTAGGGAGTGCTGCCATGCTCCATGCTTAGTCGAAGAAAGGAGCAGTTGATGGGCTGGATTAATTTATCCGGGGAGTGCTTTCCATGCTCCATGATTTATTGGGTAGAGGAACAACATTTCAAGTTGTCTCCAATTACATTGTGTTCCCTTTCCATTTTGAATCTTCCTTCATACAGAATCTGCTATTTGTATTTGCAGGTGAGTTACATGTAAGGCAATGGTTCAAGATACATAATCATGGAGTGGATCTTCATTCCTTTTTGGCAATGCTTGCTTCACCTGAATCTGTATATATTAATATAACATTCATCAAGACTTCTTTATGGATATTTGATCATTATTAAAATTCTACACTTAACAATCTCCCCCTTTTTGATGATGACAATAAGCTAAAAAGAGTTTGACTAATTTATGGATACTTCCCTGTTCTTTTCAAGTGTGCTCCCATGTCTTTAAGCTGATTTTTGATTTGATTTGAATCTGCATCTGCACTTTTCTTTTCAAGTGTGCTCCCCCTGTCTTTAAGCTGGTTGTTGATTTGAATCTGCACTTAAGAAGCTTGTAGTTCACATGTAAGGCTTTAACACACCTGCAACCATGTAGTTGTAGTTCACCTGTAATACACCTGCAATATTTTTTCCTTCTTTCTCCCCCTTTGATATCAATTAAAAAGAAACATGAGAAACTACTTGCAGTAATAGTACTAGCTAAGCATGCATAAAATTTGTACAACTAAGCATTTATAGTGAGCATAGTCGACTAATGCTCATTCCAGACACAACCAAAAGAAAATAATCTTAAACTATCACACAAAGCAAAAAGGATTGTCTTAAGCATTCCTAAACATCATGCATGACCCTGATTCCTTGCCTCCTTGTGGTTTGAAGAGTGATCCTAAGTTTGGCCACGTCTGCCGCGGTTTCTTTGGTTACTTCTCTGATCTTGTCCACCTGCTCCTGCATAGAGGTTAGGAAATTCCTTGATATATGCAATGTTGTGCTGCATCAGCATCAGTTGGTCTGAAGAAGAGGATTTGTTGGCTTCAGATTTTAGTCCTCCACTGCTCTGAGTAGGGATGACTTCTGATGCTTTGTCCTTTTCAAGCCAGGTTCCCTCAATTAAAGTATACCCCATCATGAAAAAGGCAGTCTTGTCATAGGTGCTAGAGATAATCTTTAGAACATAGATATATAGGTCCACTTTCATGACTTTCAGGATATGAGAAACTAGTAGACCATAAGGCAGGTTGCTCGCAGAAGAGGAAATATCCCTGATACTTTCAAGCATGTATTGACATACCCAGATAAACTAGTTTATACCTTTACCATTTACCAAACAATACAGAACAAATACATCTCTGAGAGACAAAGTACTGAGTGAACCAGTACGGGGTAGCAAAGTGGTTGCGATAATGTGGGCTAGAACACGATGTTCAAACTTCAAGTTCTTAGGACCTATATCAGGGAGGTTTTCAGACAGAACACTTTTGACCTCATCAAAAAATACTTCAAAATTATCTGGCCGGGAATATTGCACAAAGAAGTTGTATCCAACAAACTTTGTGGCAAAGATTTTTTCAAACTGATAAGAATCAAGGATAATATGAGTTCCTAAGACCATGGTTTCTAGATCTTCTTTATCATTCACAAAAAGGTTTTCATAAAACATGCTCACATGCTCTTTATAGACAGTATCACCAACAGTAGCAAATAGGGAGACAAGTTTCTGAGTTTCAAAAATAGACAGAACATCACAGTCAGAGTTTTGCATAGACTTTAAGCTTACAGTGCGACCAAATGCAATTGACTTTCCTTTGAAGGAGACAAATCTAGCCTTCTCTTCAGGGCCATAGAAAATCATCTTGTCTTCAGGACCAAACTCACTATTTTCAGTTTTTTCCTTTTTCTGAGAGGATTGTTTGGGGATAGATTCTATTGGCCGTTTTCCTGCCCTCTTTTGAGATATGAGAATTTTTTCTTGAGAGCCACTTGATTCTTCTTCAGTAAGTAAGTTGTCTGTGCTTTCGGAGGATTCAATATCAACAGGATCATTTTTGGTTTTCTTGAATCGGTGGCTTCTTCTGGGTAAGGAAAAAGAGGGAGAGGGTTTTGCTTTGGCCATGAGTAAGAGGAAAACAAAGAGAGAGATTTGGTTCCTTTGAGAGAGTGGGAGATACACTCGAGAGAAGAGGAGTTAAAAAAAGAAAACAAGGACGCCTCGATTTCTGGAGAGACGTATGAAAGACAACTGAAAAGTTGCCTTCTGCAAAACTATACCGTCAGTTCAAATAGAAGTGAATACTAATTAAGTACTAAGAGATTTTTTGGCACAAACAACAACATACATGGAATTAAATAAGAGTAATTATGGGATACATTAACCATGGTTATGGGAGAATTGTGCAAATGCCAATTTTATTTAGAAGAAAACGAAATCTTTCTTCAAGCAAAGGTTTTGTAAAAATATCCGCCAACTGATTTTCAGTATTAACAAATTCTAATACAATATCTCCTTTAGCAATATGATCATGTATAAAATGATGCTTGATCTCAATATGCTTAGCCCTAGAATGATGCACATAGTTTTTTGATAAATAAATTGCACTAGTATTGTTACACATGATCGGAACAGAATTAAGATGTAAATCATAATCTAACAGTTGATGCATAATCCATAACACTTGTGTGCAACAGTTGCCTACTGCCAAATATTCAACTTCTGTGGTGGATAAGTCCACACAGCTTTGTTTCTTTCTGTGCCAGGATACAAGGGATTTTTTAAGTAATTGACACGTTCTACTTGTGCTTTTTCTATCAAATTTATCTCCTGCAAAATCTGCATCTAAAAAACCTTTGAGATTGAAAATTTTCAAACTTTCATACCATAATCCATAGTCGACTATTCCTATCAAATATCTGAAAATACATTTAACAGCAGTCAAATGAGTCTCTTTAAGAGCTGACTGATATCTAGCACATTTGCAAACACTAAACATAATATCTGATCGACTAGCGGTAAGATAGAGTAATGAGCCAATCATACCTCGATACATTATTTCATCAATACTCTTACCATTTTTATCTTCATCCAAATTAGTCGATGGACTCATAGGTGTTCCTATGGATTTTGCATTGGACATACCAAACTTTTTGATGAGTTCTTTCGTATATTATGTTTGACTAATGAAGATTCCTTTATGTATTTGCTTGATTTGAAGTCCAAGAAAGAAAGTTAATTCTCCCACCATACTCATTTCAAATTCTCTTTTCATGATATTTGAGAAATTCTTGCACAAAACAGTATTAGTACTACCAAAAATAATATCATCTACATAAATTTGTACAATTAAGTTACTTAGAGATGATCATTTGATGAAAGGAGTAGTATCAATATTACCTCTGTTGAATCCATGTTTAATTAGAAATGAGCTTAACTTTTCATACCAAGATCTAGGAGCTTTCTTTAGGCCATATAAAGCTTTGGATAATTTGTAGACATGATTAGGAAAGGATTCATTTACAAATCCTGGAGGTTGCTTAACGAAAACTTTCTCAGAAATAAATCCATTTAAGAAGGCACTTTTCACATCCATCTGAAATAGTCTGAAACACTTATGAGCAGCATAAGCTAATAGAATGCGAATGGATTCTAACCTAGCAACAGGGGCGAAAGTCTCCTCATAATCAATCCCTTCTTGTTGTGAATAACCTTGGGTAACTAGTCTGGATTTATTTTGCACGACTTGTTATTCGTTCAACTTATTTCTGAATGCCCATTTTGTTCCAACAATGGAGGCATTTGGTGGCTTAGGAATGAGTTTCCATACTTTATTGTTATCAAATTGATCAAGATCTTCCTTCATTGTAGTTATCCAGCTTTTTTCACCAAGTGCTTCGTCCACCCTTTTTGGTTCAAGTTGGGATATGAGAGCGATATTTGATGTCTGCTTTAGAGATCTTCTAGTCTTCATCCCTTCCTGCGGGTCTCCAGTGATATACTTATGAGGATATCCAGGTTCACTTTTCCATTCATTTGGGATGACTAATTCCGACTCTTTTTCAACAGAGTTGGTTGGATCGATCAAAGTGGACTCTTGATTTTTTGTAAGATGCATAGCGGATTGATCTTGCTGATCAACCACTTCTTCAGAGGCAATTTCACTTGTATCGATAAACTTTGGCACTATGGAAATTTTTTTATTTTCAGTAAGATGATCATTCTTTAAATGAGGGTTAGTATCCACAAAAATAACATGTATAGATTCTTTAAATGAGGGTTAGTATCCACAAAAATAACATGTATAGATTCTTTAAATGAGGGTTACTATCCACAAAAATAACATGTATAGATTCTTTAAATGAGGGTTACTATCCACAAAAATAACATGTATAGATTCTTCAATGGATAAAGTACGCTTATTAAAAGCTTTATATGCTTTACTGGAGGGAGAGTATCCGAGAAAAATACCTTCATCGCTTTTGGGATCGAACTTATCAAGATTATCTTTTTCATTGTTGTGAATAAAACACTTACAAACGAAGGGATGAAAATAACTGATGTTGGGTATTTTTTCTCTCCATAGTTCATATGGAGTCTTCTTGAGTATTGGTCGAATAAGGCATCTGTTGATGATATGCCATGCTGTACTTACGGCTTCTGCCCAGAAGTTGTGTGGGAGAGAATTTTCCATAATCATGGTTCTTGCCATATCTTGTAGAGTTCTATTTTTACGTTCTACCACTCCATTTTGTTGTGGCGATCTTGGGGAAGAGAAATTGTGAGAGATCCCTTGATCATTGCAGATGTTCTCAAAGGCTTTGCTTTCGAATTCTCCTCCATGATCACTTTTTATGGAGGAAATGTAGTAACCTTTTTCACGCTATACTTTCTTGCAAAAGACTTCAAAGTTTCGTAGAGCTTCATCTTTATACTTAAAAAATAACCCAGGTGAATCTAGAAAAATTATCTACTATAACAAAAGTATACTTTTTACCACCTATGCTAGCAGTTCTAGTAGGTCCAAAAAGATCCATATGTAATAGTTGAAGAGGTTTTGTAGTGAAAACAACGTTTTTGACTTTAAAACAGGATCTGGTATGTTTTCCTAGTTGACATGCATCACAAATTTGATCTTTCGAAAAATCTAGTTTTGGAAGACCGATGACAAGATCGTTTTTAGAAAGATTATGAATAGTATGCATGCTAGCATGACCAAGTTTTTTATTCCATACCCACAAGTTATCAATAATGGAAGCTAGACAAATTTGATTACCAGCACTTTCCAAGTTACTGATAGTATAAATATTTTTGTCCCTATTTTCAGAGAGAATAACTTTACCTGATTCATCTTCAATAAACCAACCATATTTTTTGAAACGAACCTCGTAGTCATTGTCACATAGTTGATT